GGCGAGGTTCGTGTTGCCCTTCCGTTCCCTGTTGCCTCCCATCTGGTGAGTTTAGGGTTCGATGTGCTTATTATGCACATCCGGAAAACAGGCTGCTTCATTTCCCACTCGGTTAAGTCCCCCCCCCCTCTCCCTTTCCACAGGAGAGGAAAGGGAGCAGAGAGGGGGCCCAGGAAGAGGAAGATAGCAGGGTGAGAAGAGAAACTGAGGGATGTTCCCAGAAGTTTGGGCTTAGGGTCCCCAGAAAGCATTTTGCACAGAGCCCCTCAACTCTGGCGGCTCCAATATTGTCTGAGTGGGAGAAGTCAGGGACGGCAAGTCATTTGCTGTCCGAGGGGAAGAAACCCCCCCCCCCTTTCCATGGGCTGAAACTGTTCCCCAGCAGTGGCCGCCTCATTTGGACACTGGCAGTGGGATTCTGTAGAGGAAAGAGGAGAAGGGCAGGAGGAAGAGCCACTACCAAGATAATTGGCAATAATAAGATGGTCTTGAGCCCGGGCCCAAGAAAATAGCTTGAGAAAATATCTCAAAGAAGCCCCTCCCTAGTTCTCATGAAGATAAAGGCGGGGAGGGGAGAAGCGCATTCAGATTGCAAGATTCTGCTACTATAGCTTTATAATAAAGATAATATTGGCCTGCGTGACTTTGATTTCCTAGTCTGCTCTACCTTGAAGGGCTGACAGAAACTGTCCTCCACTACAGCAGGCTAGATTAAGGGAACTGGGACAGGCTTCTGTGCCTCCAACGCTTCATTGTCATTCTCTGTCTAATTGTATGGCTGGCCCTGTCAGTCTCCATAAAGTCAGTTTTCCTACCATGGATCTTTGGTAGGGTCTTAGTGTTTTTTTTTTTTTTTTAACGTGTATTGGAAGCAGGGGTGTCTGCAAGGTGTGATCAAAGAAGTCAAAATAGTGGCTGCAACGGTGTGATTGAAACTCTTTCTGTTTCTTTATGTGCAATGCACATAAAAACCAGAAAGAGCTTCAGTCACAGCACTGCGGTGCCCACTTTGACTTTTTTGACCACACCCCACAGACACCTCTGACTGGAAACTCATTTCTGTTTTTATTTGCATGTGGAATTGATTGATAAATAAATAAATAAAATAAAAACACCCTGCTCACTGGAAAGAGAACCTTTCCATTCAAGGTTTGATTATGCTTCTAGCTTAAGCTGCTTACAAACAACCCTGGCTTGACCATGGAAGATAGCATGACACTCTTATCTCCCTCAAGCAAAGGGGAGGGTGTGTTGGTGTAGGGCAGTGTTGTCCAAACTTGGCCACTTTAAGATGAGTGGACTTTCCACTCCCCACAACCCCCTCACAGACGACTCCTGTCGGGTAGGCACTTGCTCTGACTCCGATTCTAATACCATTTACACCGGGTAGCATTGACA